CTGTAAGACGTGTCTCACACACTTGTGTCCTTACTGACCTACAGTGTCCTCTGGAACACAGCTACGTCTTATTGATCTCTCTTCCCCTAAGCCTTGCATATGGCGGGCTCAACATAGTGATGTACTGAGCTACAGAAACTATACATACTCTCGGCATAGAGAAGATGGGTAAAGGAGACTCTGATTTTGACTTGGTCTAAAATAGTCTCTCGGGCAAGATTCATTTCATATTACCATTGGAGTGGAAAAAGGAGAATTTTAATTATTTGGAATGGTGAACATTTACCAGCGAGACTGGATCCCTCAGATCAAATTCAATCATAGAACAATAGGGTCATAATACAAGTGGTGGTTATTATCCTCTCCTAACACTCAACAGGCTTAATGTGGATTTGTTGAATTAAATTAACACTAACGACTTACATTCATATATTGATTTGCAGTTTTCAAAGTATTTTAATTCTCAGTTTAATGGAAAGAACACTGAACTACCAGCACACTGATCCCTCTCTTTTAATATACAGAGTAACAAACACTTGAAAATGATTCTGCTTTGGGAAACATTGTGCCTGGTTTGATTATGAAGAAATTTTCCTGAAGAGCCTTGGGTAGAATTTTCACTTCTTATTGCAAAAAGAAGTAACAAGAAGGCATTCCCTTTTTCCCAGCAGAAAACATTTCTGCTTATTATCACCTTTAAGAGATGGCCCAGGCGATCCCTCTGGGGCAGAGGTTGCTGTATCCCTTTTTGCAAGAGGAAGCAGTTGGTGCTGTGTTGTGAAGATCCTCTGGGACCAGCCCTCAACCAATGGCTGATGGAGTTGGTGTGCAAAACCCAGAGCTCCTCCAGCAATCCCATGCCAGATGGAATCACTCTGGCACACATACTCTACACCATCTCCCAGATTTCCCTGGTAGGTTTAAGTTTTCGCTGCTCAGAGTGATAACTTGTCTGATGAAGCGTTGTTTATGGAGTATCTTCCTTTCTCTGTCTCATTCCCCACTTCTCTACCTCTGTTCCCTAGGATCTCTTCCAAATTAACTACTTCTGTTCAAACCCTCATCTCAGGGTCTGCTTCCGGGGAAACCCAAACAATGACTTCCCCAAAGTACCTTTCCCTAGAAGGGCACCAGGCTAGCTCATCACATCCAAGCCATTAAGCCACTTAACAAGGTGTGACGCCGCCTGTGAATCCTTCGCTCACACAATTTTCGAGCCCATCACCGTCTGCTGGTTTCATTGCTCTCCTGGGCAGGTTTGCTCCACTGCTGTTCTTGTTCTGTTAATGTTAGTGTAAAATTTTTAATTAAAAATAAAGAAGATAAATGTGGTTAGTTGCTTCCATCACAACTCTGTACGGGGCACAAGAGACACCGTGACTGGTGAAAGCCACTCAGTTTGGTCTCTCTGCTGAGGAGTTAAGAATGAGGTATTTGGATATTCAGCTTTATCACTGGTACCAAGGAGACAGAAATGTTCACAGCCATGTGTGCTGCCTAGACACGCTTCCTGTTTGAGACCTGCTATGGATGGAAATCTTCAAGATGCATATTTTTTATGCAGAAATCACATTATCTATTCAATTAGGGGATATCATGTAGATTAAGGTTGGTATAGACATTGTCTCCTCAACAACATCTTCAACATCTCTTCCAGCCAATGCCCATCAACCCTCCTCTTGAACATTTCCAGAGAATTCCTTCTATTTGTTTATTAACCTTAACCATTAGACAGTTCTCACTTTAACTGAATCGACATCTCCCTTCTGCAGTTGACCACCCATTGGTGGCCATTTTTCTTGGGAGAAATGATTGAACAAGTTGGATGTCTCATTCCACAGGAGAATCTAAAATATTTAAAATATATATAACATGTCTCTTAAGCCCCCGCCCCCAATAAACTTTTCCAGTTTCTTTGGCTCTCCTTAACAGAATATGGAGTCCCTCTTCCATGCCTCTGTCATGCTCCCTCAGAGAGTGAGATGCCCATTGGAAACTCCCTAGTTGTCCAACAATTGGGGATCAAAATGCTTAAGTAACTATGGTGTGAGATAGTATTATATAGCCCTTAAAGTCATGTTTTCACAAATATTAATAGTATAAGAATGTTCAAGACATATCCAGTAGATGGGATAATACTATATATGCAATAAGAGTCCAATTTCATTAAAATATACATATAGGAATGATCGTTTTTTAACTAGAAAGATTGCTTTTAGAAAAGAAATGGAAAAAAAAGAGGTAGCACTCAGGAGTCCACAGAATTCTCCAGGTATGTTTCTGAGATTTTGTTTCCCTTCCCAAATTCTGATGTGGGTTTGGTAGATGAATCATACTGTCTGCTACCAGAGCACATATAGCTTATCAGGACCTGGGGGATTTTTTTCCCCTTGTAAATTAGTATACCTTTTTCATCTGGCAACTGAAGTTGGGAGCAGGCTGCCAAGAAATGCCTGGGCTGGGGTGCAGAGGAGATGGTGTGGAGGTCAGTCACGGTGGTCTTGGCTTTCATGGGACTGGACTGAAAGTGCAGCTTTTCAGCCTCTTGGCCAGCCACACAGCCTTGGGTCCTCCAAGTGGCAAGACAGAGCAATGCTGGTTTGGGAAAGCGAGTGGAACCTTAGATAGCTGGTCTGGGAGATGCTGAAGCCTGGAGATGGAGGGAATCTTGGGAAATACCAATGTTTCTGAGAGCGAAGGGCAGCACTCCCGGACTGGACTGTCTGGCCCTGCAGGTTAGTATCCCTGCCCTCTCTCTGTGAGATGGCATATCAGAGCCTTGGAAAAAGTGGAACATAGGCATTTCTCAAATCCCCTTCAGACATCTCTAGAGCCCTGCAGTTGTGAGGAATGCAGAGAAAGGAGGGAGGAATTGAAAGGTCAGCCAAGATTAGGAGGAGGCAAAGAAGAATGGCACTGAGGCAATTTCTTTAAGAAAGTGAGCAAACAGACTATCAGCTGTACTCCATGCTCCTTGTGTTATAGCGGTGGGGCAGGAAGCCATGTGGATGGGGGTGGGGTGGGGTGGGAAGGTGCTACCCACAGGACCACTGGGGCAGACTCTGCCATTCACAGCCGGTTTATTATCATCTTTTCTAGAGGAGTAGATTATCATCACCGGGAATACAGTTTTGGTTTAACTTCTGCCATTCCTCTCCAGGACTATCATGGCTGAACTGTGCCATCTGATTTCATGTTTAACTTAATTTAAAAAAAAGATGCTATTATTAAGAATTAAAAATAACAGTAAATGTTGGTGAGGATGTGGGGGAAAAGGCACACTCATACATTGCTGGTGGGACTGCAAATTGGGGCAAGCACTATGGAAAGCAGTATGGAGACTCCTCAGAAAAGTTGGAATGCAAACACCATTTGCCCCAGCTATCGAATTCCTCAGTCTATACCCAAAGGACTTAAAATCAGCATACTATAGTGATGTGGCCACATCAATGTTTATAGCAGGTCATTTCATAATAGCTAAGCAATGGAACCAACCTAGATGCCCTTCAAAAGATGAATGGAGAAAATGTTGTATAGGGCTGGGGTTGTGCTTCAGTGGTATAGTGCTTGCCTGGCATGTGTGAGGCACTGGGTTAGATTCAAAGCATCATGTATAAATGCATTAATTAAATAAACATCCAAAGAAAATGTGGTATATATACACAATGAATATTACTCAGCCATAAAGAAGAATGAAATTATGAAATTTGTCAGTAAATAAATGGAACTGGAGACTCTCATGCTAAATGAAATAAGCCAATCTCAAAAAACCAAAGGCTGAGTGTTCCTTCTGATATGCAGATGAGAAAACACAATAAGGTGTGTGTGTGTCGGGGGACATAGAAGTTCATTGGTTTAGACATAGGGAAATAAAGGGAAGAGAGTGCGGATGGGAGTAGGAAAGAGAGTAGAATGAATCGGACATTACTTTTCTATGTTCATATATGAATACATGACCAGTGAAACTCCACATCATGTACAACCACAAGAATGGTATTCTAATTAGAATAAGTTATACTCCATGTATGTATAATATATCAAAATACACTCTATTGTCATGTATATCTAAAAAGAACAACAACAACAACAACAACAACAAAAGATGCTGTGCTCAATTTGGATGCTTCCAGATTTATAAAGACATGCAGTCAATACAAACACACTGTTGCCCTGTTCCTGAAGCTCAGAGCACCAAACACATGAAAAGCCCCATTTTCTTTTTGCAATGTAGATGCACACACCTTCTACGGCAAAGGATCTAGAAGGCTGACCTCCCAAACACTTTTCCTTTTTAACCATCCTTTCTCGTTCTTAAGCCCATTCATGGGGTTCTCTGTTAACAGTTCTCGGGATGCTCAATGCCATGGGGAACATTATGGGTGTGAAGTGATCATAAGCAATACAAAGAATCAAAGAAAGATTAGCATTCTTGCTTCCATGAAGTGGTGGCTGTAATGTGAGTTGCTGCAGTTTTTGGCATTTTGCCTTCATTTCTGTCCAGCAAGCACCCAGATGGCTCATTTCCACCTTCAATCCAGTGTTGTCAGCCAGAGTTGATTCAAGCCTTGCCAACTCTCTCTCTTCTGCCGCCCTCCCTGTACCTATTTTGTTGGCATTCTGTTCTGTCAAACTGCAGGTTTCTTTCTTTTTTCCTCACATAGCCACTGTGTTTGCCTGCTGCCGGTCCCCACATCTTGTCATTTGCCTTTGGCTTGAGCTGTGACTCTAACAAGATGAGCTATTCTACTGTGTGTGTGTGTGTGTGTGTGTGTGTGTCTGTGTGTGTACGTGTGCATGCATGTTAGAGTATGTGTATGTTTCTGTGTGCATGCATGCATGCATGCATGTCTGAGTGCATGTGTGCATGTTCCTGTGCATGTGCATGCATGTGTTCACTCGTGCAAGCTCCGGTGCATGCGTATCCATGTGTTCCTAATAACCAGAGGTACCAGAACACTTAAAAGCACACATTTCCCCCACCAAAGTCAGGTTGTACTCACATAGTTGGAGGCCAGGTCTGGGTGGAGGTAGTCAATTCCTGCAAAAAGAACAACACAGGAACCAAAGGTTAATACCTGCTATGTATCCTCAGAAGAGCTGCTCAAGCCGGTGTCCTCCTTTGGGGCTGGCACCAGGAGACATGCCATAGCCGGTGGTGGAGTGAGCACCCGGCCCAAGCCCCCAGCCTTGCCTTTTCCATCTGGGTGAGGGCAGGCTGCACTGCTCAGTGGAGAGGCAGCTCTTCTCAGACACACTTCAGAGGAGTGAAGCCAATTAGAGCCTGGGGCCCAAGGATAACACTTCTGAATAAATGTCAGGACTAAGGGGCTTAGTGACTGTGAGATGGATGGCTCACCAAAGCAGTGATCTAAAAGAGATCTGTAGAAATCCTGACATTTCTAAAGCACAAACTGGCATTTCTCCTGAAATGCGACTGGCCCTGGGGAGGAAAAGTAATGATTATTTAACAGGGCACGGACAGCAATGGATTAGGAGAGCATACTCGGGCATGGAAATAAGAAGAGGAACGCAGCTCAGGGAGAAAAGCCATTAGGAAAGGGCAAATGATTTCCAGCGAGGTGTTCCCGGCTGGAACCTAATGCCTGTCTCTACAGAATGTGGCTTTTCAGGAAGCTGAAGGCTTCAATTCTCTCAGCAGGAGTCCTGCACTTTCTCTTGAATATGGGCCTGTCTTCTTGCCGAAAAGTCATTCCAAGGCTAGAATTATGTCTATGAGCACCGCTGAGTTCCGTTGGACTGCTAGACCTTAGACATCACCGTAGAACACCAAGGACAATTGAAATGCTCCTATTTGTGTCTGCAGAGTCATGCAATCTTTGCAGCAGTCACACTGCATCCAGCTTTCTGGGAAACAGGACAGGTTCCAGAGCCTACCAAGAATAATGGTTGCTAGTGTAGGTACTTGGAGCCAAGGACTAGAGTTGGACTCCCAACCACTTGGATACGGGAAGCAAAAATTTAGGCAAGTTGCTTGGTCTCTCTGTGTTCGTTTCCTTTTTAACAATTGGAGGTGAGAACAGGTAGGGGTTAAAAAAAAACTAATGCATGGGGCGTGCTTAGCCCAGCAGCTGGTGCATTTAATAACTATAGTGGGATGCAATATTTATAAGCTGCAAGTACCATTAAGTGCCTCCCATGGTTGGCATTTTCTTTGCATGCATACGAAGACCGTGCTGCCATTATAGCTTTGCCCTGCAAAACAATTTGAACTGGGATGTGAATTTCTAAAAGGAATTTAGGTTTGTTTTGTTCTGGTTTATACAAATAATTTCTGGACTGGGAGCCACTGAGTATAACCGGTCACTTCCCACCCATGCTCAGGGTACTCTCTCTTTCTACTCACCTCCCAAGCTTTGCAGAAGCAAAGACTAATATTTTTAAAAGTTGTCAACCCTTGTTCTGAACCTGAGTTCAAAGATAGCCAATTAAGGCTGGGGATGAGCATAAGCTTTCAGGCCAATAGTTCAAGTTCCATTCAAGGATCAGACACTGTGATACTGATGTGGCTTTGGCTAAGTGACACCATATTTTTCTCTGGGTCTTGGTTTTCTCATCTTTGAAATGGGGCCATTATTTACCTTGCAAAGCTGTTCTTGGGATTAGAGACAACTCATTGGAATTTTTAGATTGTGTTAAACAGTAGATTACATTTCTTATCATAACCATTAATACTGTCATTCACAATAGTAGAGTAATGTAGTCTTGGTTTTACAATGTTGTGTTGAAATTAGAGCATACAGATTTGTTGAAATTGGTTAATATTGTTGAGAAGAAATATTTATAACATAGATAAGCTAAAGGAAGGCATCCTCCCCCTCCACACACAATTTTTTTTTCTAACTGAAAGTTAGTTTTCAAAACATGGCTCCATGTCCTGATACTGGAATTTGTTTAAGAGAAAAATACTCTGAGCACTAGAAATCTCTTCTCCGTGAAGGAAAAACATTGAATCATGGAGACAATTTGAGACCAGAAAAAAATTAGGATTAAAACAAGATAAATTTAGCCTCATTAAAGTCATGAATACTTAATTAGGTTAAGGGGAAGGCTAAGGTTGAGTTAGAATGGATACTTTGGTCTGAGAAAGAAAATATTTTTGATAGAACTGCAGATGATAGATATGATTCAGAAAAAGTAATAGTGCACTAAGGAATGAAAATAATAATTTGATAGTTAGACAGTATTTTAATATTTGATTATCTTTTGAGGTGGAGTACACCAAACACAATTCTTGATGAGCTTATTTAGTTTTTAATTCTTACATTAGTAATGTATCCTTATTTTTTTAATGCTTTTGTTTGTTTTTCCATGATGAATTCCAGGTATGATTTGGTCCTCCAAAAACCGACAATTTAAACATAGAGACCAAGAAGTGTGCCTATCAATGGCTGCACTTTGATCCTGTGGCTCACACTTTAAAGAAGGGAGACAGACTCGTGATCAGCCAGTCATAATGAATGCGGCTCACAAATGAACAATATTTGGTTATATTCTTGTTCATAAACCCTTAGTATCCTGCTAGCAATTTCAATCTTTTCAGAAAGTCTAATCCACAACAGTCCAAGTTCTCAGGAAGCTCTAACAGGTTTAGAGACCTAAGGGAACTTTCAAGGGCTCCATGAGCATATGCTCTTACTTAGCAGGGCAGTAGTTTAGTTGAGATGTGTAGCATCCTAGGACCCTGGTCCTGAGCTCGGTTCCTTCCACTCTCCCAGTAGAGCTACCATCTGTACTCCCTACACCCCACTTAGTTAAATGTCCACAAGAAGCAGGCTCAAGGAACATACTGCATTTTCCAAAGACGCCTGCACAGTATCTCCTATCCCGCCTGTCTTCTACAATGTGACAGTGTCACACTTCTCATGGAGAAGTGGGTCCACTGCGTCCTCTTCAATCTGGGTGGGCCTGTAACTGTTTCAGTCAGTAGATGTAGTGAAACACCGAGGCTAGGCCAGAAAAGCCCAGGAATCTTCTGCCTGTTCCCTTTGGATACTTACTCTGGGGGAAACCAGAGGCCATGTAAGAAACCCACAGGTAATATAGTGAATTCACGTAATTTTATGTTATTTCAGGTTGAACTTTTTCATATATAAGAAGCAGGGCTTAGTCCTCTTTGACACAGTTTCCAGTTCCCTACTGTTGCCAATTCCTCAGTGCAGCCAATCCAGATATATGCTTTATGCAGCTGCCTCCTGGTGTCCACCTTCCTATGGGACCACTAGACACAACCTACTCGCCTTGCCTCACTGGTTGCCATACCCTATGTGGGCTGAGTGGATATGCTGCAGTTACCATGGGACTCTTAGGCACTCATGCTTTCCTGCTCTTAACCCACAAATTAGAGTGCCCTGTGAGGAAATCTCCACACAAATAACTTGGTTCATGGACCCCTTGCTTGTTCTAACATCCCACTTGCTGGTAGACTGTTCATGTCCCCACCCTGCCCCTTGTCTCTCGCTCAGAGGCATGCTGCTCTCTTTTTTTCTGAACCTGTGCATAATAAACAGCATCTGTTATTTCACGTTTTCTGTTTGAATCACCTCCTCTGTATTTCATCTGACCAACACACCTGACCCTAACTTCTTTCTCAGTTAGGGCTGTCCCTGAGAGTGACTGTCTCAGTGGGAATAAACTGGACACCGTTCACACAAGGCAGAGCATCTGTTAGTATGAACAGGTTTCCTGAGAGAGGGACACTTGATCACAGGTTGGACGCTTAGGCACTAGGCCCCTCACTAGGATCAAAGAAGTATCCTGCAAAAGGCACTGCTTTGGTTTGCATACTTGTGTCCCTCCAAAATTCATGTGGAAACTTAAACCGCAATGCAGTAGTATTAAGAGGTAGAATCTTTTGGTGATTAGGACGTGAGGGACTGTGTCATGGGTGTGATTAGTGCTCTTACAAAAGAGATGAGAGGAATTAGCTTAATTTCTTTTGCGCTTCCATCTCTTTCGTCATGTGAGGGTGCAGCAAGGAAGTATCATCTATAAGGAAAAGGGCCTTCGCCAGACACCAGATCTAATGGCACCTTGATCTTGAATTTCTTAGCTTCTAGAATTATAAGAAATAAATTTATGTTTTTTTTCTATAAACTACTCAATCTAAGGTGTTTTGTTATAGCAGCAGGAATCAACTGAGACAGAAATTGATATCAAGAAGTAAAGTGTTTCCAGGCATGGTGGCATACACCTGTAATCCCAGTGGCTCCAGAGGCTGAGGCAGGAGGATCACAAGTTCAAAACCAGCCTCAGCAAAAGCAAGGCACTAAGCAGTTCAGTGAGACTCTGTCTCTAAATAAAGTAGAAAATAGGGCTGGGGATGTGGCTCATTGGTTGAGTGCCCCTGAGTTCAATCCTTGTCCCCCTGCCCCCCCACAAAGAAGTGGATTGTTACCATATCAAATATCTAGAAATGTGGAAGCAGCTTTGGAAGTGTGTGATAGATAAAGGCAGGAAGAGTTTGGAAGTGATGCTATCAAAAACTTGTATTTCCATGAGTAGTGTCAGTGATCCTGGTGAGAGCATGCAAAAGAAGAACTATGGAGAGAGCCCAAATCTTCTTAGTTTCTCTAAGTAGTTGTGAAGAGATCATTGGTAGAAAAATGGACAGTAAGGACAATTCTGATGAGATCTCTGATGAAAATGTGGTATAAGGTATTGGACACTGGAGGAAAGGCTGTCCTTGTTATAAAGTGGCAAAGAACTTGGCTGAACTATGTCCTTGACCTAGTTCTTTAAGGAAGTTGAAACTTAAGAGTAATGAACTAGGATATTCTGCAGAAGACATCACTAAGCAAAGTATTGAGGGTGTGACATGACTTCTCCTGATTGCTTATAGTAAAATGTGAGGTCAGGGAAATGAATTCAGGATGGAATTTATAATTCAAAGGGAATCAAGGACTTCTCCATCTGGCCAGATGGTAAAGACTGAGAAAGTGGATTCAGGAGAAAACATCAAGAGTATGGCTAAGTGGACATTAGATAGGGAAATCAGTGATATTCATCCAGACAGTGAGA